AAAACACACCCACCTGCCCAATTAATCCAGTATTGTCTTGCTGTGATGCATCTATTGGCTGTCCTGCACTGCCATCCTCTTCTCTGACATCAGGAGCTGCCCCCCCCCTTGATGACGCATGGCCAGGTCCTTACCCTGGCCGCCATCAGCCATCAGTCCCAGCTCCGCCAGCCTCCTGCGACATGTGTATCACAAGAGGCTGAGGGTGCAGGACACAATAGGGTCCGCAAAAATTTCAGGGAGTGCCTGCAGTCACTCTTCCAGTGAGAATTTTCTGACCGGCTTCTTCGCCAAAATTTAGCAATTTAGTTAATTCAATTGAAAAATTTACTTGTGTTGAATGGGCTGCCGACGGGGGCCACACACTGCTTGAGTTTTTGCTCAAAGTCCGGCAGACATGGCTGAAATTTGAGCAGTGCCTGATGCAAGGATTAATTGTAGAGTCCCACACCTCCGTTCTCTAATTGCCTAACGGAACTTATTTACTTAATGACATAACAGGAAATAGTGGTGACATTGTACACAGTGACACTGTGTATCGGGGGTGCTGGACAGGAAGTTGTCTTGTGTAGGAGATCTTCCTCCTTCTCTATAAAGTATATTTTTCTTATAGGCCATTGTTGAATACTGATCAGTTGTGGAACTGGAATATTTGGTGTGCGATAGTGTTACTGTGCATTGCGCAAAATCAGATTTTCAATTGAAACTGTATTAAAGCTGTCTAACTAATCGATTTTGAAAATAATCGTTAGCTGCAGCTCTAGTCACTTTATTGCTCAGTTAATGACAAAGTACAGCGGGCAAAAAAAGGAAAGGTTTTCACCTTTTACAGGTACCACATCCAGTTACACTAATAAATGAGAAATGTACACAGAACAGAATTTTTAGGCACCCACTGAGGTCAATGCAATCCATGTATGTTCCATTTTATTCAATATATTCCTATATATGGAACATAAACTGATTTAATTGACCTCAGTGGGTGTTTTGTGTACATTTCTTCTTTATTAGTGCCACTTTATTGCTCAGTTTATTTCCCCGTTCACACCTAGGCGTTCCGTGAACACACGCCAAAGGTGGGGGGGGAGGGGGGGGGGGAAGTGCTGGAAGGCTACACTCATTCCTGTTACGCCGAGGTGTGAACACGGCCTAACCATTTAAAGAAGTATGAAGCTCTTAAACATTTTTCAATAACGAATCAAGATTAAACCAATATAAATTGTCCAACAGTATTCCTTTAAATTGCACGCATTGATGCTCGTTCACAGAACGTGTCCAAAACGTGCACCGTGCTTGCAGTGCCATAAATTGTTAATGGAACTCCAAACGCAGCCAGGAAAATGCATGTTAAACTCACGGGGAAAAAAAAAAGGTGGTCCACCTTTTTTTTCGGTACTCGCCGATGCCGAATACCAGTACCGGTAGTGCCATTAGGGAAGCCAGGCGGTGTGTAGTGACTCGCCACCTGCCTTCGTGATGAGCCAGAAAGCCGTCTCCATGCTTCCTCGCCACATGGTGAAGAGGGAGCATGGAGTCGGCTTCCCGGCCAATCAGGAAGCCGGGCAGCGTGTAATGACTCGCTGTCCGGCTTCCTGATACAGGAAGTTCAGGTATCGGGCTAGGCATCGGAGCATTTGGACAGGCACTCGCCCAAATATTCGGTATCGGCACCGATACTGGTATCGGTGCATCCCTAAATTTAACCGCAATTGCGTTAAGCATTTTTGACACGTTCCATGAACAGACGTCAAAGCACCCTTTTTTTTTTTTTTTT